GTTGATACACCTGTCTCAGAGAGTCCCAGGTACACAGGGCAGGCTGGCTGCAGAACTCCCAGAACTCCCAGCACAGAGCGGGTCTCGTGACAGTGTTGCCACCTTTTCAAATCTCAGCATGGTACCATCCATGGACAGAACGATTCTGTTTGCAGACCTGAGATTTAGTGTCAGCTCACCACTGGGTTGCACCAGTCAACAAAGAACTAGTTAGGGGAATTAATGGGTGGCTGATCTCTAAATGATATTTATTATATTTTTTTTTGTTTTTATAGTACCAGGGATTGAACTCAGGACCTTGAGCTTTCCAGGCAGATGCTTATGCCACTGAGCCATATCCCTGGCCCTAAATAATATTTATTCTGTATGACAGACAATTCAGAGACAATATCAGAAAAGATAAATATATTGGACTAAATAAAATCTAACCATTTTTTGGTGACAAAAGATAGAATTTATTTATTATATTTGTTTATTTTTTGGTGTTTTGAGAGAGTTACTCTATCTAGCCCAGGCTGGACTTGAGCTCACTCTGGAGGCCAGGTTGGCTTCAAACTTCCTGAGATTCTCCTGCTTAGAGTGGTGGAATTACAAGCATAAACCACATGCCCAGCAAAAAGAAAAGAATTTTAAAAGTAAAATAGGGACTGGGGATAGCTGGGTCGTGTAAATGCCTGCATGGCAAGCACAAGGACCCAGGTTTGAACCCCAGAACTGCATGCCATACCACCACGCTGTGTAGTGAGACCCTGTACCAAACAAAGAAATAAAGGATTAAAAAAAAAAAGTAAAATAGTCAGGTGTGGTGGAGGTACATGTCTGTTGTCTTCGTTACTTTCTCTCTTTGCTGAGACAAAATGCCCAATGTCCAAAGTGAAGGGAGGAAAGATTAATTTAGCTCACAGTACATAGAGGTGTCAGTCCATAATCAGCTGGCTGCAGAGCAGGGTGGAATGGCATGGGGCAACCGTTCGCCATGGCAGAAGCCAGCAAAAGCAACAAGAGACCTTTTGCCCCTTTTATTTTATCCACACTACTGGGCTTAGAGCTGTACCAATTAGTGGACTGATTTAGTAACCACACAACCCTTAATCACATACTCTAGATTCCGCCATCTCTGAAAAAGCCCTGTGACTGCGTGGGGCTTTGGGGACACATCTAGACACAAAGTGTAACACCTGCAATCCCAGCACTAAGAAGGCTGCAGGGGATTGCCACACGTTCTAGCGAGAGAACAAGAGAGCCAAAGAGCAGGTAAGCAGAAAGAAAAGGAAACAAAGAACAACCAGATTGCGGTTAATACTGCTAACACATGAAGTCCTCTACCGCTTGATAAGCCGAGGTGAACTGTTTCTTCTCTCAGCTTTCACCATTTGCTCTGGTTCTAGCGCTTGTCGACAATGCCAAGACAGCTGCTGGCTCAGCCTGAGTCACAGTGCACAGGCACAGAAGGCTCTCTCTTGATGGATGGCTTGGACCCTTGGAAACCATCTCCTATTAAAAACAAAAGCTATCTCAGAGTTTTGAAGGCCCACAACTTCAGGAGAAAGAGAAAATTTGAATTTTGTTGGGCTTTTTTTTTTGGCAGAACCGGAGATTGAACTCAGAACCGTGTACTTGCCAGGGAAGCACTTATTCCAGTGAGCCATCTCCTTGGCCCCATTTTGTTGGACTTTTTTCCAACTGTACCAAAGGATGGTTGTGCCAGCATGGAGCACACCTCATTATTGTCACCCTTTAAAATGTTGGTAAGGTCAAACAGCCAAATGTAGAGGTTCATTACAGATTGATTCCCCCACCCCAAAAACATGCATAGGAAAAGTATTTCCACTAATAAGACAAAAGAATTGTAGTTAATCTTACAGACATACAAAGAGCTCTACAGATTAGTATGAAGTAAATAACTCAATATACAGCATTTGGGAGGCTGAAACAGGAGGATTACCACAAGCACAAGGCCAGCTTGGCTACATGAGCAAGTCCAAGGCCAGCCTGCACTACAGACTGGGATGTTGTCTCAAAATAAACACTCAATATAAATACAGACTAGGTGTATGAATGGTCAATTCACAAAAGAATAAGCATCAGTGGTAAAAACACAGATGAAGAGATACTGAGCCCTCTGTAAACTAAAGGAAGCAGGCAATATTTGTTATCGCTTATATTGGCAAAATGTAATAAGATTAATAAGATCTTAATGAAAATGGAAGAAGACTGGAGGAGGGCTCAGGGAGCAATTTGCAAGCATTGTTGGTGAGGCTGTGAATGACTATAGCCTTTATTTATTTAATTCAGTAATCTGTTGGGAATCAAACCTACTGAAATAAAAGGATCCATTTATAAAGACATACAAACTAAGACTGTGACATTATTTGCAGTAGAAAAAAAAAATTAGAGTCGTTTGAATGTCTGCTCACACCAATTACAGTAATATATTCAATTTATCAATGAGTAAATCATGGCTCACTCATACAATAAGCTATTTTGCAGCTACTAGTAAAACTTGGGCTGGGTATGTAGTTCAGTGACAGCAGGTGTTTAGCATGCCCGAGTCCCTGAGCTCAATCCCCTGTATCCACTCACGCGAAGAACCAAATTTCTATCCACTGCACTGGCAACATCCATTCCAGTAATTTAAGCAAGACAAGTAAGTTGTAAAGTGTGTCTGTAATGTTTGTGAAATAACTAAACATGCTAAGTCGTATCTGTATGTATGTGCGTCTGTGTGTATATAGGATAAAATGTAGGAGTTTACAGAATAATCTTTTCATATCAGTTACTGCAACAGGAGAACAAGAACATTTTAATCTGTTGTAATCTTTTCCTTGAACATGTATAGATTTCACTTGTAACAGTAAACATGTCTTACTTTTTTTTTTGAAACAGGGGCTTGCTATGCAGTTCCGGCCTGGAGCTCACTTAGTAGTCCAGGCTGGTCTCGAACTTGCAACAATCCTCCTGCCTCAGCCTCCCAAAGGCTGGGATTACAGGCATGCCCCACCACGCCTGGTTTACTTTGTAACTTAACATATTACTGTACTGAAAAATTACTGATGCTGTCTGGCAAAGCCAAGGTCCTGAGTTCAATTCCCAACACACAAAAGAATTACTTACGTAGGGGCTTGTTCAATGCCCAACGCTGGGGAAAAAAAAAAAAAAAAAAAAAAGCTTAAAAAGTTCCACATAGAGCCACACACAGAGGCGCACACCTGTATTCCTAGCACTAGGGAGGTTGAGGTTAGAGGATTGTCAAGAGTTTTGAGGCCAGCCTGGACCACATAGTAAGATCCTGGCTCCAAAACAAATATAAACATTAAAATAAAAAGGCCATTCATTCTATGGCATTTTATTTGGCAACAGAAATGGAGTACTGATAGGTGCTACAACGTAGATGAATCTTAGAAGCACAATGTTGAGTGAAAGAAACCAGTTTCAAGTAGCCACATACTGTATGGTTCCATTTATATGAAGTGTCCAGATTAAGCAAATCTGCAGGGTAAGAAAGATTAACAGGTTGGAGATTAAGGTGGGATGGGAAGTGAAGTGACAGCTGATTGGTAAAAATTCATTTTGTGGGATAAACATGTTCTAAAATTGATTTGTGTTAGAAAAGCTCCGAGTTAACTCAAAATCACTTTTAATCAGTGTGTCAAAAAGATATTAAAATACTATAAACTATTAACATTTGTCTTATCCTCAAAAGACTACTGATTGATATCTTTTTATATACTTGGAAGAATATCCAATAAATTCTGACAATCCCAAAAACAAAAATCCAAAATAAATCACATTTTGAAGGAACTAGTTTGAGGAGGATATCATGCTTTTGGATGTATAAATTCTTTTATTTTGAAAATATGTATTTAGCTGAGCATGGGGTTGTATGCCTATAATCTCAGCACTCAGGGAACCTGAAGCACGAGGATCACTATGAGTTCGAGGCCAGGCAGGGCTACCGAAGCAAATCCAAGGCCAGCCTGCACTGCATACTGAGACTATCTCAAAACAAATAAAAAACCTCAATAAATAATTAAATTATTAATTATTAAACATTATTAAATAATTAAATAATTAAAATCTAGATTTCACATAATTCGCTAAATTCAGTATGAAATGCACAGTGAGTACACTGACCCACATTTTAGAGACCTGATTCTGTCTCCTAAGAGAACGCTGAAGTTTGTACATCCACTGATGGATTTAAGACCGTGGCCAATTTTCAGGAGCAAGTATTTATTAAGTGCTTTTCAGTGCACATTCAATATATCAAAGACATACAAATATAAGGAAAAATCCAGTGTCTGATAATATTGTTCCAGCTCTCAGAGGCATATTCTTCTTACCGAAATCCTTAAGTCAAAATAAAATAAAATAGATTTTTTTTTCGGCACAGAAAAGCAGAAACACTTCTTTTAGTTCCATTGGGAAGGCAAATAAAAAAGAAAAACAGCAGAAACCATTCATAAACTTTATTTTTTATTTGTTTTTTTTTTAAATTTATTTTATTTCTGTGTGTGTGGCCAGCTCAGCCCACCAGGGGGCGGGGCGGGCTGGCATGTGGTGCTGGGGGACTGAACCGTGGTCCCTGTGTTTTGCTAAGCTTGTTCTAAGTAGGTGCTTTAGACCACTGAGCCATCTCACCAGCCATAAACTTTATTTTTAATGAATAAATAAATATGAATTTCATCCTCAAGCAAGAACTTGCGCCGGACCATAGTCCTAATAGTCTGTGGCGAGCCCACCTTTCCAAGAGCGCCGCTGGTGTAGTGGTATCATGCAAGATTCCCATTCTTGCGACCCGGGTTCGATTCCCGGGCGGCGCAACCATCTTTTCTTCCCTGCAAAACAGAAATCTTAGAATTGCATTTGAACCACGTTAGGCTATTTCTTCCTTGTGTTCCCAATTTCTTTGCATATTCTATTTCATTATTACTCATTAGCGAAGCATTTTTGGTTCTGCAGCTCTAAGAATCTCGACTGCGTCCTCAAGTGGTTCACTTTGCGCCTGCGTCGCCCCCCCCCCCATCCAGAGGAAGCGCGGCTGCGCAACAAGTGAAACTACGGATTGAGGCGTAGCCTGGCGGCGGCGGCGAAAAAACCCACGAGGCCGCTCTGCGCCTGCGCGGCCGGGTCACCTCGCTGGCTGCTCCCAGGCGCCCGGCTCGCCGCCATCTTGAAGCGGGGCTTCATTGTTCGCGCTGGGCCGGGCGTTGAAGTGTAATTGCCGCCGACGGAGAAGGCGGAGTAACCTCCGGTCAGCCGCGAAATCCCGCTATTCCTCAGCCATAGCCGCTCACACGATTTGGGAGGTAGTGAAAGGAAGGGAGCTGGACCCAGAGGCGCCGCCGCAACCGCAGCAGCCATGGAGGACGAGATGCCCAAGACTCTGTGAGTCTGGAGCAGCAGTGAGGGAGGCGGGATGGTGGTCGTCCCGGAGGGAGGCCTCGGCCCTGCGCCGCTCCCAGCCTATTGTTCTCCGTGGACGCCGCGCTATCGTGGTTCCTCTCCTTAACCCACGGCCGGATGCTCAGAGCCGAGACCCGGGCTGAGAGGACCGATGGAGGGAGCGAGGCGCAGCCCGCGGCAGGGCTCCCCGCGCCGCACCTGCACCCCGCGTGGCCGGGCCCCGCGCGCCCTCGCTCGCGCTTAGACCTGCAGAAAGACTTTTTAATTCAAACCGGTGTTTAGAACGCGGCGAAGCTGCCTTATGTGCGGTGCTCTCGATTCCCCCACACGCCTCTTCTTAGTCTTAGCCTTAATTTCATTTAATTTCCTCCTGACACACTGCCTTTCGTTTTCTTTGCTTTGATAGGATTTCTCCCCCCTTGAGACTTGAGGTAAACTTCATTCATGTATTTGCCAGCTGGAAAAAAGCCAAACATCTTTCTTTAGCCTCTCCTTGGCTTTCCTTCTGTAGCACCCCCGACCCTGGACCAAAAAGCCTAACCGGACACCCCAAGGATTTTCAAACTTTTTTAAAAATGAAATCTCACCCGGAGGATTAAATCTGCTGAGGGGAAGTGGATTTAATACAGGTTTATAGTCGCCTACAGCTCTTGATTGACAACTTACTGATCAAAGTTTTTATGAAGCAACCGTTGATAAATATTTATCAAGTCGTGAGAGTTTTTAGCCCTGTTAAATGATCTGAGCTTGGGGTGCCTTTGTCACGCAGCCTCCCCAACTGCATTCTTTGTTTTTCAAAGTAGTACTGTATTATTGGATGATCTTCCCTTTGTTGCATTTCTCGCAAACGATAAAAAGGGGAGCTTCAGTGTTTTTATTTGCTTTTAAATTTTATTTTGTGTATTTGAAATTTGCAACGTAATGTTTGTTACGGAATGCATACAGATGGTAAAGTGAAACAGATTTAACGTGCCCTCTCACATAGTTAACATTTCAATGAATTCTTGATCTAGCTTTTGTTTTTTATTCTTGAAATGTTGGCAGTTTGAAGACCCAGTGCATTAAAAATACACTTTTAAGGGTTTTAAAAAAATTTTTTTTTGATATCTCCAGATTGGAGTTCTGAAGTATGTGCATTTTTTCATCACCAAGTTTGTTTTAAGTTAATATTTCTAATGTATGAAGTTACAGTTACACTTTGTTTTCTTAGTAGTTTAAATACTTTGTTAGTTTATTTGAAGATCTGTTACCTTTGAGCATCTTTTTAATAAGAATGCAAAAGCGATTAGCCGGGCGCATTCCTGTAATCCCAGTGTGTGGATGGGGCTGGAGAATTGTGAATTCAAGACCAGCCTGAATTGTATAGCGAGACCCTGCCTCAAAAGAAAAAAAAAAAAAAAAAATCAACTGTTAAACATGACCTTTGTGTTTGGAAAAGTTGTATCTTTAAACGATTATTCCCCACCCCACCCCCAAACAAAACCTGTTAAATTCCTGCTGTTTATGGAAACTTGTTCCTCTTGTATCATAGCTAGAGGTGTGATAACATTGGGTTAAGCCCTACTCATTTTAAAATATCTTTACATTAAAATTATTATTCTGTAATATCAGAAACTGCTAGAACTATCAGGGGACTTAACTTTGTAGTACATGGATTTGACAGTAGCAGATAATGACAACTCAGCATTCTCACACCAGTCTACAAAAGCAGGTAGTTAAATAGTTCTACAGTGGAGTAAAGGGTCTAACTTTTGACAGGGAAAATAATGGAGTTTTGTTGATTCCTACTTATTGGATGCTTTGTATGTGCCAGGCTCTTTATTAAGTACTACACAAGCTCATTTAATTCTCATTAGAACTCTACTCGAATTTGTAGCCAAGAAAAAGCTCAGAATTTGACTAACCCACAGTCATACCCCTTTTTGGTCTTTATTTTGAAACTGTACTGTCCTTGGCTTTTAACTCAACACTAAATAATTTTGCCTTGTGTCCCTTACTAAAACACCCCATTTAAATTTTGGGAGTGCCTTTGGGGTTTTTTTTGGTGTTGTTTTCCTTCTCCCTAAAGTAGTCCATGATCTGGAATTTCCTATTACCTGCTTCCATTCCTCAGCCAGAACCCCAGTTCTTCCAGTCAGGCCCATCTTGATTGAGGGAAAGATTCCATTCTCTTTTAAGTTTGCTTGGCAGTATTTTTACTGTTGCTTGCTGTAATGGTTCTAGAAGTCAGAGGCTTTTAATTTGTGCTTAGCACACTATCTAGTTTGTGATCAGTGAGTAATAAATTCATTTAAAAATCTAGTACAATTGGTAGAAGTGAAATGAAATTTTGCTCAGTGTTGAGAACAAAATAGTCGGAATTTTATCATCACCTGTTTTCCTAAATGGCTCAGAGGAGATTTGCCCCATCTCAGAGTTCAGTAGCACCTTGTTCAGGATTCAGTTTCTTGTGGGTAATTCTTCACAAACATAGTCTAGGCTACTCTGTTACCCTTCTTTGGTGGCTGCTGTTACACTTCTGGGTTATCCTTCTCTCCCTACTTTTACTTTGCCATACAGCCTGTTTCTTTTTCTTCCTTTGATAAAACTTTGCTACATTAAATATATTTTGAGATTCAAGATAACAATTAAAAAGTTCAAACCTGTGTAGTGAGTGAATGGGTAATGTATACATGCTATTCTCATGTATAAACTTCAATTGTCTAAATGAAAAAATAAAAATGTATAGTGAATCTGATTTGGCCTTGGTCTTTAAAAACGTGATTTATTAATTAAAAGCTGCACACTAAACTTAAAAAAAAATGTTGGTGTTAGCTGATGATTGCTAATTCCCTCAGAGCCAGACATCTTAGTGTTGTTACTCTCAAAGGCATATAAGGCCAGTCATGATAGTCCATGTCTGTAATTCCAGCACCTGGGAGGCTGAGGCAGGAATTTCACTGAATTTGAATCCATCCTGGACTACATAGTGAGATCTTGTCTCAAAAAAAAGTCTGAGTACTCTAGAAATAACTATGTGGGGGCCAGGGAGATAGCTCAGAATAAGATCTTCCCTGGCAAGCACAAGGGCCTAGGTTCAAAATCCCTGGTTCAGCCAAAAGAAAGGAAGAAAATATGAAGGAACTATATGGTTATTGTGTAGCTTTCTCGTTTGCTGAGAATGTAGGTCTATAAATTATACAGCAACCTTAAAGCCTCCAGCTGAGTAATTACTGTCTAGTAATATAATATAGGTTTCTGTCACACTGTGTATATTTCATCTTATTGTCTACCCCCTCTCTTCTCCAAATGCCTTTGGCCTTGTAATCTGAATGAAATACCTATTTTGTGTTGAGTTGAATATGATTGTTCATTTTTAACTATAAATTAGGTTGCTGGGGTATATGTTACCTAAAGTGAAATATTTAATTATTGGAGAATACTTAAAATACTTCCAAATAACTATTAGTATGCAAGCTAGAAGCAGTGGTCCATACCTATAATCCTATTCAGGAGGCTGAGGTAAGGAGGACCACGAGTTAGCTCAGCTTGGACAACCTAGCGAGACTCAAAAATGAAAAGGGCTAGGTATATAAGCTCAGTGGTAGATCACCCCTGGGTTCAGTCACCAACACTGCAACAACAACAAAAAGCAACATTACAGTCATTCAGCAATATTTGAGAGCATATCCCACGGATTTCATTGTTCTTAGAACTGGTGATACCAAGATGTACAACAGGTCATTTAAGAGCTTACATTAACATGTCAGGGTTTTTTTTGTTTTGTTTTGCGGAACCGGGGATTGAACTCACACCCTTGTGCTTGCCAAGGAAGCACTTATTCCACTGAGCCATCTCCCTGGCCCCAATGATTCAATGTCACCTTCCTCCCCATCTCCTGGAACATGGTATTGAACCGAGGCCCCTGGCCTTGCCAGTTAAGCGCTTATTCTACTGAGCTATCTTTCTGGCTCAATATGTCAGGTTTTGATAAGGGCTATGGAGAAAAAATAATGCCAGTAGGGAGAATGGGAGACCATAATAAAGATCGTAAAGTCGCTTTGGTAAGTGACACTTCAGTAGAAAATTACAGGTGAGAGAGCCATGCATATAGTTGAGAGAGAAGCTTTCTTGAAGAAGCCAGTGGCCCATGCTTATTGGGTAACCAGAGGAGGGTGAAGAGTAGAAAATTGATTAGAATGAGGGAGCAAGGCTTAAGGGGAGATTTGAAGGGCTTCTCATCATACGTGGCCCTATGAGGACTATGTCTTTTATCTGGAGGATGATAGAACCCATAACAGAGGAGTCATGTCTTAATCGCTAAAAGGGCAAAGTAAAATAAACTTGGTCTGAGCAAAGGACAGAAGGGTGGCTTATATCTCAGTACTGGTAGAAGTGATAAGAATTGGTTAGATTTTGGATATGTTTTGAAAAATCTAGCAACAGGAATTACCAGTAGATCAGCTGTATCGTATGACACTGACAAATAGCAAGTGAGTCTACTTTAGAATGTACAGTATTAGTCACCTAAAATGTTAGTTTGTTGAGCTTGGCATGATGGCATATGTCAGCACTCAGGATCTCCAGGAGTCCAAGGCCAGTCGAATTACATAGTGAGACCCTGATTGAACAAAACAAGCAGGTTTGCTGCAAAATAGAAGTAAAAGTCTTGCGCTTGTATAGCCTTTGAGATTTACAGCTATAGAATACATTTGTTCAAACTGATTTCTGTGTGTGGTCTTAACTACAAATGAAAGATGTACTAGAGCCAGGTATAGTACACACCTGTAATTCCAGGTCTCAGGATACATAAGTAGGATTGCTCTTGAGTTCAAGGCCAGCCTATACTACATAACAAGGTCCTGACTTAAAAATAAAAATTAAAAAAAAAAAAAAAAAAAAGGCATGTACCACTACTGCCCCAGCCTCCAAGATTGTTAACAAATTGTTGTTAACAAGTATTAAGGGGACCTGAAATTCTATTTGTTTTAGACCTGTCATGT